TTGGTCATGTGATTAGTGAGCATTATTTGTTTGCTGATAACCTGGCGACGCACTCTTACTATGGACCGTTGAACATTCCGCTGTTCAATGTCGGCTACCATGTTGAACATCATGACTTTCCTTACATTCCATTTACGCGACTTCACAAGTTAAAGGAGTTGGCTCCGGAGTTCTATAATCACCTTCCTTACCATTCCTCGCTTTGCAAGGTGGGTTTGCAAATAGTTGGTTTGCCTATAATGCTATAATGCTTTACTCTCCTGCTCCTTTAACGTGTTCGTTTCTATTTGTGCATTACTTTACAAAGTATCCCATCTAGGTAATTATCTTAGCTTGAGTAGTCTCTCTGGTGTTGTTTTGGTGTCGGTACTATTTGTTTTGTCATTATACCCCTGGCAATTAAAGTGGTTTCTGAATAAGTATATATTGGTTGGTAAATATATGTGGGATATAGTTTACTTACTCTCCTGTAGGTGATGTGGGACTTTGTGTTCATGCCGGGTCTGGGACCCGAGGCTCGAAGCATCACGACAACGCTGAAAAGCCGACCGGAGATCTATAACAAGGTTCCCCACTTTGAGCTCACCTCAGCTCTGACCTTCCCTGATGCATCAAAGAAGGCAGAATAAGGTGCACATTAAACTGTCTGTTTGTTTTTAGCTAATAATAACCCGCATGGACGCACAAACAATCATTAGAGTTTTTGCACTGTAACGTAAGGAGAGGACTCTATTGGAGATGGTTTGCGGTTTGATAGTAAAATTTGATGAGATTGCCTGCAACCTTCACAAAAAGCCCTTTTGCTTCCTTTTCTCGAACCCTTTGGAGCACTCTGAAGCGTTCTCGCTGAGTTTTTCCTGATTGGTCGGCAGTGGGGTGGATACGCTTCAGAGTGTTGCAGTATTAATCTATGCCTCAGCAATCGAGTTGATGAATGTGAATGCAAAGGCTACATCCTGGGTGTACACCTGTGATATGGAGTAAAAACTTCTTTGTTCCAAAGTCTTATCCACTGGTTGCTTTGGTCAGGATCATGGTTCATAACAGTAACAGGGGGTTCTGCAACCATTCTTCAAGTCCTTCTGA